ATATTATTAGTTATAGTTAATTATATTTAGTATAGAAGAGACTCCATTGGGTAAAATAATATGGCACAGTAATACTGTGGCTAAGTAAAATAGTATATGATACAAGTGCCTCTAAGTGCCTCTGCACAAAGTGCCTCTGTGTGCCTCTACACAAAGTGCCTCCGAGTGCCTATACACAAAGTGCCTCTGAGTGCCTCTACACAAAATACACTTGAGTGCCTCTACACAAAGTGCATCTGAGTGCCTCTACACAAAGTGCCTCTGAGTGTCTCTACACAAAGTACCTCTGAATGCCTCTATACAAAGTGCCTCTGAGTACCTCTACATGGTTAAGCAATTATACCGTTACACTTCTATTTGTTAAAAAGTTATAAAAAGGGAGCTCCTGCCTTTTCTGCCAAGTCAGAGTTCATATACTTTCATATAGAGTTTCATTACTCTCAAAAAGAGTTCCTATACTCTCACAGAGAGTTTAGTTACTCTCATAAAGAGTTTACTACCCTCTTATAGAATCTAGCCCTACCCCTTTACCCTTTTCTACTTATAAAGTGTGATATTCCCCCTCTAGGATAATTCCTACAGGCAAGGTTATCACCATGAACCTGTTATTAATAAATATTATTATCTATATACTGTTATTATTTCGAACCGTTTGTCTCCTGCTGTGAAGTTAAAGTATACATTTCATGTTCACCCCGTGTATATTCATAAAGTATATCACTGTAGGTGACCTTGTTACTTTGCTATATTTATACTAAAAAGGCTATAGCATTGTAACATTATAGGTAGCTAAAATACCAGTATTGTTTAACACATCAATTGCATTACATGTAGTTTCAGATCCTGCAAGATATAAGATAAGCTCTAATTTAAAACTATTTGCATGCTTATTGTGCAATCTAGCCATTAAATATAAAATTGTAACAACTTTTTTTTTATTTTTATTTTTGTTGTAAGCTGAACGATCACATGGTATTAATATACCACACATTTTAGCAAAAAAATCTCTTAAATTGGGATCTGCATCTTCGAGTATTTTTTCAAATTCATATGGATAAAGAACAAGTTTATTTTGTCTTTTTTTATACAAAACTGTTATCATTTTTTTAATGCGATCACCAAGTAACAATTTAACTGATTTACTTAAAATGGTTTTTTTCGTGTTTAATATTTTCATTCTCAACGATAGCTATATAATGAGAATGACAAACTTGTTGACCTATTTGTAAATATGGATATTGTTGAATAGTTTGTTTACAATTGCTTTTCTCATTGCTAATTGAGTTAGACAATGAAAATTATCCTAATTTTTATCACAATTATAAATTAAACAAGACCCGTTATTAATTTTTTGTCTTGGTATTTTATTTAAGAATTTAATTTTAAAAATTCAATTGTGTTTAATATATTAACACATTTAATATGCATACAATGCAATTTTTTGTAACACTATTGTAATATTGTAACACAGATTACAGATTATTTTAAAGAAATACATAATAATAATAAATACATAAAACCTATAATTTATTTATAAAACATAATTTTTTAATCTTATTATAGCTTATTAGAAAAGATACTATCGGCTCATTTAATTATATTTAATAATTGTTTTTATAACTATATATACAAGCCAGGATAACAATATCGAAGCCTCTATACAAACAGTATTGAGCAGACCAGACCAATTTGACCATTTGACCAGACCAATTTGACCAATTTGACTGGTTCAGTCAAAGGATCTGTACTGGTCAAATTGGTCAAATAGAATATTTAAATATAATTTATTTATAATATATATATTATATTTATATAATAGGCTTGACCAATTTGACTAGTTTGACCAATTGACTAATTTGACCAGACCAATTTGACCAGCAAATTTTTGGTCGACCACTAATTTGCCCAACACTATATACAAAGTATGACTGTGCTTGTATTTTTAATACATATGCATATATAACATATAATATAATAAAAAATTGTTAGCCAATTAAAATCACGAAAAAATAAAATAATTATTGGCCAATCAGATGGATATTTAACCATGCTTGTATGACTATTTCCTGCTAAAAAAATTTTATTCAAGTAATGTGAAAAACAAATAATTATATTCTCCTTCCATCAATTAAAGAGATTCAACAACAATGGAAATGACCAAATGTTCTTGCATATTTACGATCTAAACAAGAGGAGCTTGACCTTAATAATAAAAATATCAAAATTATCGAGAAGAAAAAGGTTTCCAGTAATGACTTCCTAGATTTGAATATTGAAAAACTTGTAAAATATGGTTTGGAAGATAGTTTAGCTGAAAGAATCATAAAATTAGTCAATATAATAAAGGGCGAAGAACAGAGTAAGTAGTACCACGACTGCATTCGAAGACACAAAGTGTTAAGTCTCTGACTCATATTCCAAATCTATACTGTTTTTTCTGCAATAATTTCAGTTATTTATTACCTTGTTATTTCATCTATAGACATACTGAGTTCTTGGAAGCAGACATTGTATAATAAGATGCTAGACTTGCGAGCGAAACTTGCAACCTTGTAAGAGAATCTTTTTATAATATGCAAATTGTTATAGTGAAATGATTTCGATATAACTAATAATGTTTGCAATGCAGTTCTTCATCAGCTACTAAGCGACATTTTTTTGATTTGGATAACTATAAAGAAGGTTAGTTATATAGTATATGTTTGCTTTAATAGAATTCTTGTCATTTCAACTTAAACTTTTCTGATTTTTACAGAACAGCAAAAAAACGTAAAGAAAATTTAGAGTTATTCTGCCCTGTCAACTTTTGCACTTCTTAACAATTTTATAGATTATCAAACTAAGGACCAGCAGTTACTTATTCACTGCTCTTCAGAATATATTGGTCCACCAGTATGAGTTTACTATAACGTTTTCAATCAGTTCCTGTGTGATTACCATAATGAAGAGCTAGAAATGAAAAAAAAATATTATAATTGGACTCTTGAGTTCATTCATGAAATAGTAGAAATATACCAGAGTGAATCTGAATGTCAGCAAGTATTTAACAAAAATATTTGTAAACTATTCGGTGAAGAATTAAAAGTAATTTATTTAGATGATAATTCTTCAAATAATGGAGTATTGGAATGTAACGTCTATTCAAAAAGTGTATTATGCCTTCTTGTTAAGATGAAAAATGAAATTGGTACTGGTGGCTGTGATCCAATTGTCCAGGCTGAGGCTTTTTATGCAAAATATTATATTTAAAAGAAAAATGGAGAAATGCTTTAATGATGCAACTGGCCATTTTTTCTTTTATGCTTGGCTAGACCTTGGGTGTGTATTTTAGAAGCTGTATATGTTGAGAAACCTATTATAGATTCTTTGACGGACTTCATACCTCTCATTTCTACAAACGATCGAGCTTATACAGAGCAAGTAGCATGGTTTTTTAAAGCTTTACACTTGGAAGTTAATAAGTTAACAGAGTATTCTGGATCATTAGATATGCCTACAGATTCACGAAATTTACAATGATTTTTTCCCTATCCGAATCAATACGAACAACAGAATACAATCATGGAATTTACATATAAGAGAAAACTTGTGGATCAACCTAACAAGCTTCTTTGGAAAGCTATAACAAAAGACAGACAGAAAATTATTGTTAAATTCACATGGGATTACAATCAAAGAGCACACGAACTGTGTAGCGAAATTGAAAAGGCATCAACATTACTCTATATTAACAAAGAAGTGGTGGATAGATTTTACATAGTAGTTATGGATTACGTTAAGGCCAAGCAACTTTACTAGTGTGATTTACTTAGTTATGATGAATATAAAGCAGTTTTCAAGGATATCAAAGAAGCTATTGACAAACTGCATAAGGAAAATATTGTCTTTGCTGACCTCTGTGATTCCAACATTTTGGTTAACAAATCTCAAGACCAATATCAAGGAATATTAATAGATTTTGATTAGGCCGGTGAAGGAGAAGTCATGCGCTATCCATCTTTTATGAATTATAAATATATTAATTGGCCACCAGGAGCTAAAGATAGGAAGAAGCTAAGTTGTAAACATGATGTTTATTGATTGAAGTTGTTGAAATCTAAATACTTGGTGAGAGTGTAGATCTCGAATGATTAGTTAGCATGGTATTTGAGAATAAAGTAGAAAAAAAACAATTATATATATAAGCTGTATATATATTCAATATAATTTGTTTTTAACAATATTAGCAAGTCGATAAATAATAAAATTTATAGTAAGTTTTTAGCGATAATTGTAATAGAATTTATGTGTTTTATTTTTTGTTGTACAATAGAGCTAGCCTCGGTGGCTGATTTGCATACATAATTATGTTTCTTTTGCATGTATATTTATTTTATTATACTGTTATCAATGTATATCAAAAAATAATATGTAGTCTCGAATATTTGTATTTATTTTTTACATATATTAGCATAGAAAATTTGTCATATATCAGGTTGACAAAATCAACTGATTTTGTATTTGTTTTTTATTTCTGTATTAATAAAGTTCGTCTTTACATTCGCAACATAATATTGAATAATTCACATTCTTGTATAAATTTTATTGATTATGTTAAGCACTTAATTCAATGATTCATTAAGAGAATTAAATACCAAGCTCTTAGTTGAGATTTGTAAGTTTAGGAAGAAGGTTGCTGAGATCAAAGATGAGAATAGAGAACTTAAGAATAAGAATATGAAATTGAGACGGATTATTGAAGAGAATGCTAAGTGTGATGCTAAGAATGCTGAGCACAAGATCAGAATCGAGGAATTGAAGAAAAATAGTACAGATATTTCAGCTAAGAATGCAGAGCTCAAAGCTGAATTAGTCAAATTAAGACATGATTTCAATTCCTCCAATCTCATGAGGCTTCAGCAACCACGTTACTAATATGCAGAACTTGTGCTCTAAAGAAGAAAAGATATCAGAGGTAATAGTTATACCACAGCCAGATGCTGAGCCTGAGAGGCGCTTCACTTTGCATGATATACCTGATCCTGTAATGGGTCAGTCCATAAATGGAACATCTAGTAATAACGCAGACATCAAGTCATCAGAAGATAAGAAAACAGATTCTTTCTTAGATGAAGTGCATAAGAAAAAGGTTAGTAATGAGATTATGCAGAGAAATAGAGAAAATAAATTATTATGTAAGTCAGCTACCCAGGACTTATCTGGATTCACTAAAGTGGATATTTTTTCAATAACGAAGGACAAAAAATCTCAATCACATAAAAAGAGGAAAGTGGAGAATATTGTACAGGATGCATTTGATTTTACAGCTACTTTGGTAATTGAGAAAAATCATATAACTAAAATTTTCATGATAAGAAACCTACTTCTCATTACTGAAAATACTGATGAGAAAAATTTCGTAGTTATACTATTTGTAGCAAAAAGCAAACCATTACTAAATTTAGCCTGTTTATATCAGAAAGCTTGTGATGTGGAAAAGCAAAGAATTAGGGCCAATCAAGATGAAATTTTTTGTTGGTATCATTATGTTATAGAGTTCGATAATCAAGTAAAAAATGTTATAAAAATTAATCAAATTGGTAAGAAAAAAGCAACTTGGTACTAAACGTAACATATTACTAAAACAAACTCAGAGAGCAAGAAGCATATACAAACTATTTGAGAAAATAGAAATTGATAAAATCAAATATATTATGACATATAGTGCAAATTCTATATCAAAATTATCTGATAATCAAATTCAAACTATTATTAATTATTTTACTAAAAATCCCAATACTAAATTATCAGATGATCAGGAAGGCCCTATTATCGATTCTGAAAAGGAGATTTCGAATGATCAGAATAATATATTGGAGAAGCAAGCAAAACTCTTGGTTTCAGCAACACAGGCTGAGGATGACTTTGACAAAATGATCATAGAAGCTTTCGAGGAAGAAGAGGCTAGGATAGAGAAAGAAAGACAGAACAAGGCGACATTAAATATAGTAACTCCAGCTAAGGTAAATATCTATGATGATATATATTTTGGTGATGAGGATGATGAAGATGAGGATAATAATGATAATGAGAATTTCACTTGTTCTGATGATGAACCAGGTTATTAAGATTTAAGTAGTAGAAAGAAAATATATAAAAATTCAGATTATTTAATTAGCGTATATTAACATGTGATTGTATAAGTGCCCACCTTCTTGCAATTCTTGCTCGAAGCCAGAAAGCAGGTAATCACTATATATACTTATATCTGAACAGAAAATAATCACTTTTTTTTT